GTATGGGTTTAAGCCACCAGAGCGCCTTTAAAATCTAACAGAGCACTAGAAAAAGAGAAATTACTATTGACTATTAAGCACTGATTATTTACAAGCCCTTTAATCCTTACAATAATTATTATCTTCCTACCCCTATTAACTAATGAAGAAAATGATGTTGCAAGTGATTAAATAACTTTCCCAGGTAAACTGGGATTTGAAATGAGTCTCTAAGATCATTATGCTAAAAAAAGATCATTATGTATATTATTATTCTGAGCTGATTTTCAGAATACTAATAAGCAAGGAAGAAAGTAGTTTTTAAAAGGTATAAGAACTTGGTCTGAATTTAAGAGAAATCAGAAATATTTTGGGAAGTATTTTGATATCTATACCTTTAACTCAATTTCACTATAAAAATCCAGGTAAACCAACAGTGCAGGCTCCAATAACCCCTCCACCACTGTAGGGGGCAGCTAAGAAGCATAATGTTGCTACTCTTTGCTCACCTAGACCCCTGATATTTATAAATATCGTTGTTATTGTGAGCTGTTGAGTTGGAACTAACCCATAGATGACTCTCTGGTGGGTTATCAGAGGCAGTTAATTACATGAGAGGAGATTGCTTATCTTATTCCCATGAAGCAGTTGGTGAACTCAAACTGCATACCTCTGGGATTGCAGTGCAGCTTCTTGCCACTAGGCAATGCAAGAGGTTTATATTCTGCCCCCCACCCTCTGCCTTTAAAACCCAATGGCATCTCCAAAGTAGTATAAAAACAAAAAGAATCATCTATGATAGAAAGGTTTGGAATAAGGCATTTCTCTTTGTGACTCTAGAGCTGAAACCAGAGCTGCTGTCTCTAAAGGTGTATGAGTTCTGGACAGTGAGTCTACATGATGCAGGCTTTTCCTGATTAGCAGATGTCAGGCCTTAATATTTCATTTCCCTGTAGATTCTAAGAAGAGATCTATTTTATACTTTAGTATCTTGTAAACTCCTTAAATTAATTTTATAGACTTGTTTCAGCTAAGCTATCTTGATGGTCTCAGGTACTCAGACAATTAAGTACAACATTTTATATTCTCTTCTTCTCTTGGTGAATCATTTGGTATTTATTATATACTATACCATGATGCAAAGAGGGACCAGTCCTTGGAGAGGGACATCATGCCTGGAAGATTGGAGGGACAGCACAAGAGAGGAAAAGCTTGCCTGAGATGGACTGACTCAGTGACTGGGGTAATGGAGGTAGGTATGCCAAAGACAATAACATTAGCTCAAGATAAAGCAGGGTGCAGGGCTGTTGTACATAGGGTCGCTATGAGTTGCAAGAGACTTGATGGCACATAACAACAATAACCATATTTGTGTTTTATTGACTGTACAAAGGCACTTGACTATGTGGATCATAACAAATTATCACTAACCATGAGACGATTGGGAATACTAGAACACTTAATTGTGCTCATGCAAAACCTATACCTAGGCCAAGAAGCTGCTGTCTAACAGAGTAAGGGAACACTGCATGGTTTAAAAATTAGGAAAGATGTGCATCAGGGCTGTATCCTTTCACCCATATTTATTCAATCTGTATGCTGAGCAAATAATTCGAGAAGCTGGGCTTTATGAAGAAGAATGTAGCGTCACGATTGGAGGAAGATTCATTAATAACCTACGTTATGCAGATGACACAATCTTGCCTGATGAAAGTGAGTACACTAAAAGCTTGCTGCAGAAGATCAAAGACTACAGTCTTAAACATGGACTACATCTCAACATCATGAAGATAAAATTCCTTACCACCAAGCCAGAGGGCAATATGATAAGTGGAGAAGAGATAGAAACTGTCAATGCCCAGAGGTGTGCAGTTTGAATCCACCAGATGCTCTGCTGGAGAAGGAGAGACAATCTCCTCCTGTACCAGTCAGATCCAATTTGATGGTGGTGGTTGCTATGTATCATCGAGTTGACTGTGACTCATAGCGACCCTATGTACAACAGCCTTAAACCCTGACTTATCCCGTGCCAATCTCACTGTCTCTGACACATCTACTCCCATTACCCCAGTCACTGAATCAATCCACCTCATGGAGGGTCTTCCTCTCCTGCGCTGTCCCTCCACCTTCCCAAGCATGACATCCCTCTCCAAGGACTGGTCCCTCCTTGCAACATGTCCAACAGGTCCAGAGTATGTCAGATGAAGTTTCAGAATCCTTACCAACAAGGAGCAGCCTGATTTAACCCTCTCCAGGATGAACCTGTTCATTTTCTTAGCAGTCCATGGTATATTCAATACTTCTCTCAACACCACAGCAAAAAGGCATCAGTTCTCCTTCTATACTCCCTAGTCATTGTCCAACTCTATGATGCACAGCAAGTGATTGCAAAGACCATCTCCAGAGTGACACCAATGCTCTTCGGTACTTTTTTGAGGTCCCTAACAGCAGACTTTCCCATAGCAATACATCTTTTAATTTCCTGGCTGCTGGTGCCAAGAGTGTTGACTGTGGAGCCAAGCAAACTAAAGCTGTTAACAATCTCGATTTTTTCACCATCTACCCTGATGCTACCAATTGGCCCAGTTGTGAGAATCTTTGTCTTCTTGATATTGAGTCTCAATCCATATTGAAGGCTGCAGTCCTTGACCTTCTACAGCAAGCTCTTCAGGTCTTCCTCAGTTTCAGCAAGCAAGGTTGTGTCATCAGCACAATGCAGATTGTACATGAATCTTCTACCAGTCATGATGCCACACTTCTCATAGAGCCCAGCCTCTCAGATAATCTGTTCTGCATACAGGTTGAAAAGGTATGGAGACAGGACACATCCCTAGCATACACCCTTCCCAATTTTGAACCATGCAGTGTTCCCTTGCTCTGTTCTGACAACTGCCTCCTGGTCCAAGTGTAGGTTTCACATTAGCATGATCAAGTGTTCTGGGATTCCCATTCTTCTCAGAGTCAGCCACAGTTTGTTATGATCCATACTGTCAAACAATGGTAAATGCACAGAAAAGAATAAAATAAAAGAAATAAAAAAGAAATTGTCAATGATTTAATCTTACATGGATCCACAATTCCTTGGATCTAAGCAGTCAGGAAATCAAAAGATGCTATCAGGAATCTTCCTGAAGGTGCTGAAGAGCAATGATGTCAGTTTAAAGACTAAAGTGTACCTAGTCTTTTCAATTACTTGCTATGCCTCTGAGAAAGATGACAGAAGAATAGACAGACACCTTTGAGCTATGGTGCTGGAGAAGAGTATGGTATGTCTCGTGGTCTGCCAAAAGAGCCAACATATATGTCTTAGTGGAGCAACCAGAGTGTTCATTAGAGAACAAGGATGGTGAAGCTTCATCTTGTACACTTCGGGCATGTTGTTAGGAGGGGCCAGTCCTTGGAAAAGGACACCAAGCTGGGAAAGGTGGAGAGTCACTGAAAGAGGTAAAGACCTTCAATAAGATGGACTGACACAGTGGCTATAGCAAGGGGCTGCTCATGCATAGAAGAGGTGGCAAGGATGGCAAAGGGGATAGGGCAGGGCTCAGACCGATTGTTCATAGGGTTGCTGAGCTGTAAGTAACTCCGCAACACCTAAGAAGAACAGCCACCACCACATTAGAGAACCCTCTCTGGTGGTGTAGTCAGTAGAGAGTTAGGATGCTAACTTGAAGACCTACTTGGTAGTTCATCAAGGTTGAGGTTCAAAAGGTCCATTAGTAATATGGACTAAATTGCTTCCATGTGTCTTTGATATTCTCTACTCTGGCCAGGAAGAGATCCAAAGAGGCATCTTAGGTGGCCTCTCACCAGTTTTTAAGACTCCAGCTGTTATGCACCAAAGCAGGAGGCAGAATGTTGTCCTTGTGATCTATACATCTTATGCCACTAACCTTAAGGTTCCCAGAGACAATGGTCCTGAGGCAAGTGAACCTCAGAATGTTTAGTTATGGTTAAGAAGCTTCTATGTTTCCTGTCCACTTTACTATATAGGTATTCAACACATAAAAATATATATGTAGAAATATTCCTACATATCGTCATTGGTATAGTATGTTTCATTCACTCATATTTGTTCATCCTGCCTCCCTTTCTATGTTTTCACTTGTACATTAGTGTTTGTTATTACTGATGGTGCAGGATTGTGTATACTTTTAATAGTATTATCTCTAATGTTTGTGTACTTCTCTGTATCTTCCTTTTCTTCAATGATATTATGTTCTTCATATTAGAATATCAAAAGTAGTAAAACTCTACCAAGTTTAATTTGCTAGAACAATGTTTTAGAAACTTCTTTTACTCATTGGGTCTGTGAAGGACTGGTTCTTGGAGAGGGACATCATGCTTGGGAGGGTGGAGGGACAGCGCAGGAGAGGATGGCCCTCTATGAGGTGGATTGATTCAGTGACTGGGGTAATCGGGATGAGTGTATTTGAGATGGTGCGATTGGCACAGGACAGAACAGAGTTTAGGGCTGTTGTACATAGAGTCACTATGAGTCGCAAGTGACTCGACGGCACATAACAACAACAACAACAGCAACAACAACAACAACAACAACAACATTTAGCTTATTAGACTGAAAACTTTGAAATGTTAACATTTTTTAATGGGTTTTTCTTTTTATCCAAGTGAATTTCTTTTCATCTCGTGAAATACAAAGTGTTTTCTCCTTTCAGACATTTAAATGGAACGGCAGCAGGGCTCTGACCTGTGTATGTTACTATCGTGATGTGTGGTCCTTTCTGGGTCTAAGCATCCCAAAGTTATTGACAAGAGTTAGAGATTTTCTTTACTGCTATAGATAATGCTCTGCATTTTGTGCAAACTTTAAATTGATTAAAATTAAGATGCATATCACAAAACCAGTATTCTTTCACAGTGAACTTCTTAACCCCCAGAGAATTTTGTAAGGTATTCTTTTCAAGAGTAGATATGGCAGGGGAGGAGAAAAAAACAAAACAAAACACCAAAAATCCAAAACCAACCAACACGAAAGCTTTAAGGAAACCATTACTCACCAACGTGAAACTTCTGGACCGAGAACTGCTGCTTCGACTCTCTAAACTCCCACCTCTGCTCAAGTCACTGAGCCTGCAGCTGGGTGCCATGTCTGAGTCCATCTCCGAAAAGTCGGATTTCAGGCTGTTCACAGGCATGCCCACAGAAGCCTCAGCTCCTGGACTGATCAGAGGAAGCGGGGAAGGGGCCAGTATCCCATAGCGAGGTAGCAAATTACTTCTAGAGAAATCAAACACAAAGTGAAAGTAGTTAGTGAGCCTACATAATAATATCTCATCCCCCCAAATTGAAAAACTTGGCATACAGATTCTAAAAACCTCTAGATTCACTGACTCAACCATTAAAATAAAGTTAGTTAGGAAACCAGAGGTCAGTTTGTTTGGTAGTACTCCTTTCCATTTTATATTGTTATGTTGATGTAGGAAATCCGATTGAACAATACTTTGGTAACTCCTTTTGCACATAAAATCTATACTTTCATTCTTATTAAATATTCAACTCATTTGGCTTAAAGTTTTGTAGTGTTTTACCACTTCTGAACTTCAGGCTAGTAGTTGTCACGGATTGTACTGTGACTTCCCCAGAATAGGTATCTTCTTGGCCCAGCCACGAGTCTCAGTAGTTTATAAAATATACAATAAATTATTATGTAACTGACAACTCATCCACAATCAACACCCTTGATAATAGCAGTCAGAAAATCAGTATTATTCAGGGAAAGTTTGCAGTCAGATACCTCTCTAAATTATTCAGGAATGATGATAGTAGTTTGAGAACTAAGTTGCATCTGATTCAGGACATGGTCTTTCTTACCACTTTCTATGCATGCGAAAGCTGGCCAATGAATAAGGATGACAGAAGAACTGAGGCCGTTGAGTTGTGGTGTTGGAGAAGAGTACTTAACATCTCATGGACCAAAAGAACAAACACATATGTCTTGGAGAAACTTCAGCCAGAGTGCTCTTTTGAGGTAAAAAAGCATTGGGCATGTTGCTAGGAGAGGCTATTCCTTGGAGAGGGACATCATGCTTCGAAAGGTGGAAGGATAGCTAAGGAGAAGAAGATCTTTAACCAGCTGGATTGACACAGTGACTGCCACAATGGGCTCCTGTGTGTCAGGAAGTGTGAGGATGGACAGAATAGAACAGGGTTCAGATCTATTGTTCATAGGGTCACGATGGGTCATACTCAACTTGACAGGACCTAACAACAACAATAACTTATTCTGACAATTACATAATGAGGCAGTCAGTTTTCTATGATGTGACATGATGGATTACTTGTAAGGGAATTAAGTAGGGTGAGATGCAACAGGATCACAGCCCTGGTGTGATGTAAGGGGAGATTTCCTGGGGTATAACTTGAATCTTGTTTTATCTCACAAAAGATAAAGGGACAGAAAAGCAAGCACCGAAGGAGGGCCCTAATTACCACCATGAAAGAAGAGCCAGGAGTGGAGCTTATTATCCCACCCAGCAAACAAAGACTTGAGAACATGGTTGTTGTTGTTCTGTGCTGTCGAGTCGCCTTGCTACTCATAATGAGAACATGGTACATTTTAAAATACGCTTAGTAATAATGGACCTTTAAACAACACACATTTTATACAAACTCTCTAAATAATGAATAACTAGATGCTATTGAATTTAGAAATACAGATATCCATGGTGAAACTCTTCAAAGCAGTCAGTCTAATAAACTATGTAGCTTACCACTGAACTAATAGGCAAGAATATGATAAATGGAGAAAAGATTCAAGTTGTCAATGAATTTATTTTACCTGGATTCAAAACTAATATCCATGGTAGTAGCAGTAAAAAATCAAAAGACATGTTACATTGGAGAAATTGGCTGCCAAAGACCTCCTCAAAGTACTAAAGAGTGAACTGGGGTAGGGGGAAGAGAAACAGAAGGAGTAAAATGTGCAACAATGATGAGTGACAATCTCACTTCTCTGTAAATGTTAATTAAAATCACAATTAAAATAGAATTTTTTTTTAAAGAAAAGTACTAAAGAACAACAATGCCAGTTTAAAGACAAAGATGAACCTGACAAGCCATGGCATTCTCAATTGTTTCCTAAGCACATAAGAAGTGGACAATGAATAAGGGTGACAGAAGAATCAATGCCTCTGAATTGTAGTGTTGGCAAAGAGTGTTAAATATCCCACGGACTGCCAAAGAACAAAGAAATCTGTCATGGAAGAAACGCAACCAAGAGGCTCCTTAGAAGTAAGGATGGTAAAACTTTGTCTCACACACTTTGGACATATTGTCAAGAGAGGATACTCTTTGAAAAAAGACATCATATTGAGAAAGCTGAAAAGTCAGAGAAAGAGAGGAAAACCCTCAACAAGATGGACTGGCACAGTCATTTTAAGAACGTATTCAAGCATGTCAGAGATCATAAGGATGGCACAGAACCAGGCAAGTTTCAGAACCATTGTTCATATGTCGCTGTCAATCATAATCAACTCGATGGCATATTACAACAACATATGGGTCGAATATAGACAAACACAGAGGACATACTAAGTAGATTTAATGACAGGGCTGCTGACAAATGTAAAAGCGAAGCTAAGTACAAGCATGCCAGCTCTACCTGTGGGACCCTTGAGTTGCTGGAGTCAGGATAAGGGGGGATAGGTTATGCAGAGAAATCAAGATAGTTCTTAAGATTCTTCCTGATCCGCAGATGATCCCTTCCCGCTGATTCAGCTCTAATCCATTCCTGAACTAAGTAATTCATTGTGCTAAGGAAAAAGAAGGTGGGGTACTAAGCCTTTTCCAAACATAAGATTAAAGATGGGGAAAGAAAACACTGATTCATCCCTACGCAAAGAAGGAACCCAGAGGAAATACCTAACTCTGTGGGGAAACGTCTGGTATTTTGCTACAGGTTTCAGCAGTAAGAAGAGCACACACAGAGTGCTTGGAGATGGTCATTTTACCATGTTATTTTAGAGGCTATCCCTCTTTCTCATGTTGTTATAATTTTAAAAGTTCTTTTGCTACAGTAAAATGATCATATTTAGATTTTAACAAAATAATTCTGATGAAAGAATATAGGCAAACTAACCTGTATCCTCCAGAAAGTAGGGTTTGTAAGGGAGAGATGATGAAACTTTCAGTATCTCTTTATAGCCTCACAATGTCTATCTGGTTTGATCTTCTTCCAAAGAGTAAAGAACTAGTAAGAGACTCTTTTGTTACAGCTTCTTGTTCCGTTGTTGTTTGGTGCTGATTCTATAATTGGGACCTTGCCCTATTATTCTGCACCATCCTATTTCTACCTTATTCAAGTTCATTGTTGTGGCCACTGCGTCAGTTCATCTTGTTGAAGGTCTTCCTCTTTTTCACTGACCCTCCACCTTTCCCAGCATGATGTCTTTTCCAAGAACTGGCCCCTCCTGACAACATGACCAAAGTATGTGAGATGAAGTTTTACCATCTTTGCCTCTCAGGAGCACACTGATAGCACTTCCTTATTAGCTCCTTTGAGCTAAAATACAGATAAGGCTGCACTTCCTTATCAGTTCCTTAGTAGCTAAACATAAAGAATTCCATAGGAAGCCCACTGTGTAGAAAGCATAACTTTCTGAAGGTCCAAGGCAAGGGCAGGGGAGCAAATTCCATCTTTGGCCCTGACTTTTCCTGTTCATGGGGGTAAAGAAGTGTGAGACAAGAATTTGACCTCTCCAAAGTACTGAAGAGCAATGGTGTGACTCTGGAGACTAAGGTGCATCTGATACAGGCCATGGTCTTTGCTATCACTTGTTATGCATCAGAGAGTTGGACAATGACTAGGGAAGAAAGAAGAATTGATGCCTTTGAGCTGTGGTGCTGGAGAAGAGTATTGCGAATACCATGGACTGCTAGGGAAACAAATTCATCCTGGAGAGTGTTAAACCAAGCTGCTCCTTGGAGGCAAGGATTCTGAGGCTTCGTCTGACATACTTTGGACATGTTGTAAAAAGGGACTGGTCCTTGGAGAGGGACATCATGCTTGGGAGGGTGGAGGGACGGCATAGGAGGGGAAGACCTTCTATGAGGTGGATTGATTCAGTGACTGGGGTAATTGGGGTGGGTGTGTCAGAGGCAGTGAGATTGGCATAGGACAGAGCAGGGTTTAGGGATGTTGTACACAGGGTCGCTATGAGTTGCCAGCAACTCGATGGGACATAACAACAACAACCACAACTGTAATGACTATGGTTATATATCAACAAAGGTCGTTACCATGCCTTTTCCAGTCAAGGATTCCTATTTTGGCTTTCAAATAATTCACACTATAAAACGTAAGAGTAGGGTCAGATAAGATTGAGACAGTCCCATAAATGAAGATGTTGACTTCTACCAAGGAAACGGAATGTGTTTCACAAAGAGATCATGACAAGCCTAGCACTACACAGAAATGGAAACACACACCATGCATGTGTATTATTATTTTCCATTTCCTATTTGTTTTTCACTATTTACTAGTAATATCCTTTTTGGGGGATAAAGTGTAGTTTACCAGTTGAGCAAAGAGTCCATGAACAAGGTCATGACTAGACTGGTCTTAGTAAATCTACACTGGCTACACATAACTAGTCAAGAGGACAGCAGTACCCAAATTGTAGGTCTTGGAATTCTGGTGAGGCTGGAGTGGGTAGGAATGTGAACATCCTGAAGTCAGTGTGCTAGAGATAATAGTGTGAGTAGCTTCTTTTCATCATCTTTCCCTGTACATTCCAGAATAACATTTTTAATGACCCAGCTGGTATAAATTTCTGATTTTGCCAAACCCCAGAGTTGAATTTTGCTAGTCAGAGAGCCATGCCTAGGCACAACGGCTTTCAACAGCATAAGCTTTGGATTTCTTCCTGACTCCACCTTCTTGCAGTATTCAGAATCAATCACCTGACAAGCTCTATAGATTCTTCCTTAGCAGAGTCTTTTTGTCCACTTACTTTCAAGTTCTGCTCCTTCTTTTAAGCCTATGCTCTATCAACATTGCAACAGTCATCTAACTGGTTTCTTGGTTTGTTTGTGGGGTTTTAATAGTATACCTTTATTTCCTTATTTTAAAATTTTTCTTATATAGAATACTTAAAATATATAATATTTTTTATAAATTTTTATAAATTATAATATT